GGGCAGCTCCATTTGCCCCGGGGACTGGGAGCTCCTGGGGGAGGGGTTTGGCCCTGCCCCTTGCAAGGGGGCTTCTGGGGGCGGAACCGGGCACTAGATTGATGGGGGGGGTCACAGAATCCCAGCCCCCCCCCCGTCCCAGAGCCGGGGAGAGAACCCAGGAGTCCGGGCTCCCAGCCCCTTGTCATGTGACCAGGCCCATGCCGGCTTCGGGCAGTTCCGGGTGCGTTGCTAGGCAACTGGGCCCCGGTTGCCAGGGCGCCTGCCAGGTACTGGGACCGTGGGGGGAGAGGGCGGCGCGGTGCATTGTGGGACGGGGCGCCCCCCCCCCTCCTGGGGTGCCTCAGGAATTGGGGGGGTAGCCTGGGAGGGAGCAGTGCATTGTGGGACGGGGTGCCCTAGAAGGGTGAGGGGGGGTCCCCTGTGGGGCAAGGAAGCAGTGCATTATGGGACAGGGCACCCCCCCCCCAGTATCCCACAATGCACTGCGGGTGCCCCAGAAATGGGGGGGCATAACTTGAGAGGGAGCAGTGCATTATGGGAAGGGAAAGGGGACCCCCCCCCTCCAGTATCCCACAATGCATTGTGGGTGCCTTAGGATTGGGGGGGTGTAACTTGAGAGGGAGCAGTGCATTATGGGACAAGGCACCCACCAGTATCCCACAATGCACTGCAGGTGCCCCAGAAATTGGGGGGGGGGAGGTTGCCTGGAGCAGTGCATTGTGGGAAGGGAAAGGGGTGGTCCCCTCAGGTATGGGGTGAGGAAGCAGTGGGTTATGAGATAGGACACCTCCGATATCCCACAATGCACTGTGGGTGCCTTAGGAATGGGGGTCTGGCCTGGGAGAGGCAGCAGTGCATTGTGGGATGGGGCTCCCCCAATAACCCACAGTGCATTGCAGGTGCCCTGCATTGGGGTTCCCTCAGTGTAAGGGGTGAGGAGCAGGGCATTATGGGACAGGGCATCTCCCCCCCCCCGATATACCACAATGCCGAGTGCCCCTTTTGGGGGTGGGGGGCCCCTAACAGGATGTGAATTATTCTCTCCCACAGGTCCCAGTGCAAACCAGTCAGCCCAGCATGGATCAGTACAGCATCCTGGGCAGGATCGGGGAAGGAGCCCACGGCATCGTCTTCAAAGCCAAGAACGTCGAGGTGAGAATGTCCCCCCTCGATCTGATCCCCACAGCCAAGGCTGGGGGCCAGGCCGCCTGGGTTCTCTGCGCGGCTCTGGGAGGGGAGTGGGGGCTGGTGGTTGGGGCAGCGGGAGCTAGGACTCCTGGGTTCTATTCTCCGTGCATCCCTGCTCCACAGACGGGGGAGACCGTGGCATTGAAGAAGGTCGCTCTGCGGAGACTGGAGGACGGGATCCCGAACCAGGCGCTGCGGGAGATCAAAGCGCTACAGGAGATCGAGGAGAATCAGCATGTGAGTGGGGGGCTGGGAGCCAGGACTCCTGGGTTCTCTCCGTGGCTCTGGGAGGAGAGTGGGGTTTAGTGGGGTCCGGGCGAGGTGACCTCTTGGGGTCCCTTCCAGCCCTACAGCACTGGGGTTCTGTGATGGCAAAGCCACAGTGTTGGGGGTCAGAACTAGAGACCCCAGCGTCTATTTCTCCACGTCCCCTTCCACTGCCCGGGCTGCAGCTACCCTATCCTCCTGTCTCTGGGTTGCTGCCTTCTTTCTGTCTTTCTGTCTTGTTCCCCTGTTTCTTTTCTCCTTTCTCTGTGTGCTTTCTCTTTCTCTACTCCCCCCCCCCCTT